TTGCCACACTTTCATTCCAAACCTTCTGAATCCTTGCTGCTTCAAGCTCATAAATTTCATCCTGCAATTGTTGTAAAATTTAAACGAATTCCTCCACTTTACATAAGTTGAACGAGCACATGGGGCCATTCCATTGGAAAACTTTGGCATCAATGTCTTCGCCGTTCAGCGCCCACTAATTGTGCGAACTGGCCGCACAAATAGCGTTCCTGTACCAATCCTGTATTTATCCTATACCGTTCCTGTATTTATTAGCTTGACTTTACATTCCAAAATCCACTGACGGATTTGAGGTGGTATTGGCCGACATACATAAGAGTACGAAAGGCTTACAAACGCTAGGAGGATGAGACTTTGTTCATCACTTCACCAGTTTGAATCCACCACTTTCTTTCACCAGTTCCACCATCTTCATGTCAAAATTTAGAATAATGTGGCTTTACCTGACTCAAAGGATATGCGCAAAGAATCATCCCAAAACCCTGAATATTGCTTTTGACGATTTTCGCTAAAAATTGGCTTGCATTAAGGGGCAGTTCGTTCTTGTAGCTAACAGACTTACACTCAGCAACCAAAGTCTCGATATTGTACACGAGTTCGGCTAAGTTTGCAATGATAACCAACATCACAAATATCACTATTGTAAATAAATGCATCTCTTCCCACGGTAACTTTCATGATTCTCATGACCAAAGTGCTGCTTCATGACATACCATGCATTGCATATACATATGTGTGTGTGTGAGAGAGCGACAGTTGAGCAGGTCGCTCATTTCTCCTCCCTATGTTCATATGTAACATACAAGCTACTGCATGCATACATATTTACCATGCATGTTGCCTAAAACGCAAAGTCTCACTTTTCTCGTATCCAAATACATGTTTTTCTCACTTAAACACATGTTTCTAAACGCTTTCGATTAAGGAATAGCCTTTTTTCTCAGAAATATAGGATAAATTTGGCCATGTTTTAGGGTAAAAATCCTTGCACAGTGTCAACCCAGGTGCAAAGAGGTATTCACCTTTCACCAAGGATGTACAATCCTAGGATTATCTGTACTTTACTCAGATGATGTGAATGAACAAGTTTAAATGCAAATATTTAAGTCAAACTCGGATGTCAGATCGGTTCAAGTCTATTTGCATATGTATAATTTTGAACGTTGCTAAAAGTTTCGGCAAACAGTTGGTCATTGTTATAGAGAAAACAAATGAATATTGATAAATAATATACGGCGGCTTACGTTAAGGACAAATAAGTTTTGTAATATGTAGATAAATATCTTAAATTAAGAGTAGATAACAACCTATGTAATATTTTAGTCATTAGGTACAACAACATTTAGTAGATGTTGTAAAGAAAAGTTGCACAATTTCGCAATTTTACATTTCGAAATTCTATGTCTCCAAGGTTTCAAAACTTTAACCTGTAATTTTTTTTAATGCACGTAAACTTATAAATGGTAATCCAGGTCAATTGGTTATGCGAATACACATTATGTATTTATAGTAGCTTAATAATAGCTTTATATGGTGAGAGATGTATATAATGATACGAATGTATTATTACGCTAAGATATAATGTTTAAACTAGGCTCAACAAGCATATAAATAGTACTTATCTATAAATATTTAACATTATTTGTGAAACTTCTTGGATATATTTATGATGGTAAAAGCCGTGGCCACATCAATCGAGCATAGATAAATTTACCTACCCACGTACCTACCTAATAACTACTCATATATACCAATCATAAAATTAACAACCACCTGGTGCAAGCATTATGCGTATGGTTGAAAAATTAAAATTTCGCCCATTTGTACACCGTAGCAGCGAAGAGAGGAAGGGGACACTATCCCCTCAGTAATTCAGAAAGATTGTATCATGTCAATGTCCCTCCTCCCATCCCATAATGCTTACGGCACGACCTTTCCCCAAGATTGCCACAACCTTCATTATTTTGAATAATGAATGGGCATAATTTTAATGCTTCGAGCTATACCTAAATATGCATATTCAACATCAAATAAATAATATTTACATCTAACAATATTCCAAACCATGCCAAAAAAATTCATGCGCAGCCCTTCATTACAATTTCTAGCATAAAAGCAATCCCACACATAAAACAAACTAATACACCACCAAGAATAAATGGCACTAATGCATCCATATTAATATATTCATGCTGACTCGACTTAACATATCGTTTCCGTTTCACCTCGTAAATAAAATTTCCCCAATTTCTCCAAGCAATATTTAGACCCGAAGGATAGATAAATTTTACAATTGACCTCATTTCCTCGATCAACCTTACGAATGCCAAATCATAATGAATTTTAGCCAGTGCTATATTTTCAATCTTGAAACACTTGTAGCACCCTTTTAACACTTGATTCTGTACTTGATCAAGGCTGTAATCAATCGAAAACGTTTTAAGAAGAATACATCTTGCCGGATATTTAGGCGATAATAATTTTGGTAGGCCATCCTGGTCGTAAAAATCGGTAACAAAAAGGGAAGAATTTAACTTATCAGTAAGCCCGATTGTTCCAAAATCGTGCCGTAAGTAGTTCCTAAACATGGTAAGACCATCCATCATTTTACTAGGGTATGGATTTGTGCCATAAATTTCAAAATTGTTTTGCAATATTTCTCTAAGTGAATTCAATTGCGATGGGCGACGGGGAACAATAATTTTGGATGCCAGCTCATTCTCATAGACGGCCAATAATGGTAGGCATAACAGGGATGTTAAACAAATAGGTAAGTAATTTTTTCGACTACTTATTTGCCGTATGAACACAGTTATGGCATCGAACCACTCGGTGACGTCACTATATTTAAGTAGAACCAGTAAGGTTACCACAGTGAGAAGAATTAGCCACCAAACTTGTCCCGTGTATATGGACGTGAAGGGTGAGAAATCCTAGCTGATACCGATAAACTGATTGGCGTTGATTTTCCCGTAATGGCAGTAGATTAGGTGATGTCCAAACTTGACTGTTTGCAGGTTCCAATGAGATATATCATCAGTGGCGGAAGATTCTGCCATAAAGTAAATATATCCGTACGGATTTCTTTCAAGTTGAATCATATCTTGACTATAGTTGAATGTCAAGTTTAATTTGGAGCTTAGAATTTGAGCGATACGATACGGATATCTATAAATTTTACATATTTTTTTAATCAGCATAATTAATAATTTTATTGATACAGCGTGGTTTAAATGTGAGGTTACAATGGAAAATTTTTCAATTGGATAAATTCGCAAATCTGCATTAGTCACCGAAATTTTGCCTCTAAAATCTAACATTTTAAGAATTTTGTCGTCCGTGTTCCGTTTTGAACCCAAAAATTAATAAAAATGTCAATCCCAAATCCGCAACTAATTGAAATTTACGAATTTTTCCCATTGAAAAATTTTCCATTGTTACCTGACATTTAAGCCACCCTGTATATTGTAAGATGACCTGCACACAGGTAATCCAACTTGACCCGGTCGTATAGCGCATTTCGATGGATGCTGCATATTTATCAGGATTAATACTGGTTTCCATAAATGTTTAAAGTCCAGATCGACCGCATTCAATTGAATTGAAGGCACCGCGATTAATACTTGACTACATAGAAAGCAAGCATAGCTAATTGAAGGCTTGTAAGACAAGGTGTTATTATATTTGATGAACAGTATTTCGATAACAAATACTCTCGCATTAGATTTTTGCCATCCTAACCATTCCAATTCGAATTTATTGTTTGAAATTCTTGGGACAATTATCAGCACCGCATTGAATTTTTGAAGTAACAGAGTGTCCCCTATTTTCTTTTCATTGACTGATTGTAACTCACTTTTTGACAGATCGATTAATAATATGTGGCAATATTGTAAAAACCTGTGTGAGAATGAGCTAACGTGACAATATTGATCTTCTTCTGAACTTTGAAGATGATATGTATGAAGTTAGGAAACAGTAGGTCGTTTGGAAAATTAATTGTCGGCATAGATAAAGTACTTCCACTTGTCACGTGTAGATTTAGGGTACAACTCTCTCCTTGGTGCAAAATTGAACTACAATATAATTCTTTAGAGCAGAGGAGAAAAATGTAGAAGATTCCGTGAGATTTGAGAGTTCACGAGTTTTTTGCATCAATTGATGCTAATTAATAATCCCCAGGTCCATTATTGAATGCAAATGCAGTTCTATGCAAATCTTTATGACAGGGTGAGCTACTTCTAACGTTACTACGGTTTATTGAATAACTTAGTCCCACCATTGGCATCAAACAATCCGAACGGAAATGGTGCGAATCAATTGGGAAAGTTGATCGAGAAACTACTCCAACATTGGAATAAGTTGCACCGTTAGTATCAAACAACCGGTTATCAAAATTGATGCTAAATAATTGGGCGAATCGGTGCAACATGCACCAAAAGTTTAGAATAACTGGATGAAAGGTGGTGTCAAAAATTTAACACCACGAGTTCAAGGCCCCGGGGGAAAAACCAAAATTATTTCAAAATTAGATATTTATTTTGGCTCCTTATTCTGCACCCTTGGTGCAAAATTATATCATTTTTATATGCCTGCTCTTTCTGGTTATCCTGTACCATTGGTGCAAAATTATATGACAATACTATATCTATTTGTTCGATTATCCTGCATCAATGGTGCAAAATTGTATAACTTTTATACTTGTATATTTTGCGCGATTATTCGGCACCTTTGGTACAGTTATAGCAACTCATTATATATGCGTATCTTACTCGCGAATTGTATTGTAAGTATGGCTTGTCGGGTTACTCTGCACCTTTGGTGCGTAAGTTATAACCAAGTCAATAAGACAGGGTGAGCTACTTCTAACGTTACTACGGTTTATTTTGTATGATGTAACATCATGATAGATGACGAGATATGTACATAAACGTTTTTAACCACATATTACGGACTTTATTAACAGAAAATTCATATATGAGTGCAAAAATGCCTGGACTAACCAACATATTTTGCAACCTCGTACGTAAGAAAATCATTATTTATTTACAATCTGGGTTGTTGAACACGGATTTCTTCCCACCCAATTTCCATATTTAAATAAAACTACACAAAAATTAAAGAAGCATTAAAAGGTACAAAGTCTGGCGACATAAACCACGAATTTCTCCCTAACTTCCTCTCCCAAAGAGAATATCCCTTCCCCCTCAGCAACTCAATCACCTCATCTACATACTTCGCCGTCTCATCAGCTCCCAAATTGCCCCGATCCGTCTCCACGGCAATCACGTCAAATTTAATCTGGTCAAAATCCACCCGTTTCAAAATACTCAATTCGCCCCCTTCGACATCCAACAGGAAAAAATTTATGTGTCGAATTCCTAGCGGACTCAACAAATGAGAAAGCGGGACGCACAGAATCTTCGTAACTTTCGGATTTCCCTCCATCTTTTCGTAGTCTTGTCCTTCCCCAAACTTAAATTCCATGATGGCACTTCCCCCGCTCAGCAGTCCGCCCGCATCTTCATCAAAGTAATGCACGGTACGAACTTGGTCGCATATCGCGGCATTGAAACTGATTGCGTTTGGCCGATTTGCAAATATTTGGGAGGACAAGGTTGGATTCGCTTCGATGAGGATGGATCTCCAGTCTGCACTTTCTTCAAAAAACGAACTCACGCTAAAATTCTGTCCGTTCATGGCGCCCAATTCGAGCATGACGCCACCGCCGGTTCCAAAAAAGAACTCGTTCCAGGCCGTGATCTCTTCTTTGTCCATGCCTCTCGTGGTCACGGTGACGTTGTCGAGGGCGGGGTCCCGGCGAAGGCCCCAGTCCTGGCGTCGGTACCACTCGGGGAGGTTGAGCATGGTGGCAAAAACTTTTTCGGAGCTGGGACACGGCTCAGGTGATGGTGGGTTGTCGGGTAGGGTGGAAATTTTATATTTCTTGTGGAGTGAGTAGTGACCAAAGATAAGGTGGAGGGATAAGAGGATGAAGGAAAGGGTGAATAATTTGCATGTTAGGGAATGTGTGGGTCCCTTCATTTCCAGAGGCTCGCAAGGGGACGGAAATCAATACCTTAGGGGTAGGGATCTGTAGGTAGAAAATTCCAATTAGACCATATTATAGAGGTGTGTACTGCATATTCATGTCCAAATTTAACCTAAACTAAAATGTAAATTTCTTGTCGAATTCAAAATTTTACAAAAACGCTTTCAATCATTAGGTATTATAAAGAAACAACCTTCAAACCAGAAAGGAGCAAGGCACTTTGCGAAATAATAAGTCCTTCATAATAAATATTAAAGTGCTATATTAAATTGGCTTTAAATTAGTAAAACAAAGTTTTTTTCTTCACAACGATTTTGTTCAAATTAGGTTAGTGTGACCAGTGGGATGTCAGTAGGTTAAAGTGACAATAAAATTTAGTGAGGTTAATGTGGATATCAGATTTGGGATTTATAAGATTCAAAAAAATAATTTATTTGTTCCAACTTTTTCCATTTTTGTGCTACGAAACAATATTGACTGATTGATTGTTTTTATTAATGTCGTCGAACGACCTCAGCACAGGGACATGCATACTGGTTTCAGTGTCGAATAAGTAATACATCACGCCGTTTTTCTTTTAAAAAACCATTACTTTTAACCTACAACAATTTTGATTCCACGTATGTATTTTACTTCGGTCATAACTGGCCACACTTACCCTACAACCAAGTCTTTCAAGTGCGCTAATCCTCTGATTGTGTCCTAACTAAGGAATATATAGTTTATCTCAGTCCATTCAAAAAACAATTCAGGAAATAAGTTACGAAAATCACCGGATACGTGTTGACCTACCCCACATTTGATCTCTACTGGGTTCCCGATATGTCGGCTAGATACATAGCTTGGATTAGGAATATTATTAATCCGCCCAGTAAAATAGTAAAAAATACCCAGTAAAATGGTAAAAACCAATAGTAGTAACTGTTGCCCAGATAAATAGTTTTTTGAACCCAGTATTAAAGTAAAAAGGTCCAATAATGTTGTTCGCCAAATTATCTTATTAATACAATGTTAAGCGTGAAATGCTAATGCATATTAACAGGTACCTTTTACTCGGTTGTTGGTACTTGATATTTGGCCATCTAAACAGGTAAATAACTGCAGTTTTCCACCTCTTGTTGTTCATAGTTCTTGTTGTTCATTGTTCTTATCAGTTTTTTCCTATGGCTTCCCAAACATTGCTCTTCGATACAAGTGATTCGGAATCCGATTTATAAAATCAACCTGAAGTTAAAAGGCGAAAATTATGTATATGGGATCTGTTGAATACATTTTTAAACATTACTGACGCCTATGTAAAAGTTCATTAAGGATCAAAGTGGGTGTATAAATCAAAATATTCGTCGTTTGAAGGAGACATTCTGCTGTACAACTGTCGTTTCTAACCGACTTGTTGCTGGAAATACAGGATAATTCTGCGAAGCTCCACCCTCGATGTTACCACATACTTTATTTCAGCAGCAAATCAAACAAAACTTAAGGACGATATCAATAGATATTTACGATTGAGAGAACGATGAAGTTGGAAGACTTTTGACACATACAAGACTTGTTTAAACAGACTTTGGTTAATGCAATTTAATACTCATCGGCGGATTAAATCTTCATGCTCGTGCCCTGTTTTTTAAAAATGTATGTTTATAAACACATAATCGGCATAGCAACTATACACAAATTGTATGAAGTATGTCCACCAGCCAAACGATTCCAATTGGAAGTTCCAATTTGGAACACGTCGCGGCCCTGGACGCCCTTCAAAACCCCAAAAGGCATTAAGTACTATATAAAATTTTATAGCAAAAAAGGTGGGGGAAATAAATATCTAATTTAAGTCTGTAATTCTCCATTTTGTATCGTTTTTAAGTACTACGACATTATTGGACCTTTTACTTTAATACTGGGTTCAAAAAACTATTTATCTGGGCAACAGTTACTACAATTGGTTTTTACCATTTTACTGGGCATTTTTTACTATTTTATTGGGTGGGTTAATTGTATGCCCTTGGATTAATTCCTGGTCGAAGTTATGCGTCTAACATATACAAATCCATACGTTTTAGGTTGTAAACGAATTGGATTTATCATGAACTGCATTTTATTTGTATGCGTAGATAAGTATGCACAAATCAAATGGAGTATAATGTGGACCAGGCCAGGAATGATTGTATATCATTTATCGCGAAGTGGAGCAGACATTTTGCACAACAGATCCGTCACGCTGACAAAATTATGGTCGGCTTAGGCAAATAAAATTTTTTATGCGGCTTCCACTTACCCAAAGACAGGCGCCATTACATACGAATTCGTTGGTCAGGTTAATCCTATTTGCAGGATTATGGTCAGCTTTATCAAATTGATTGTACTTATTGAACTTATTTAAGACCTGTCAAGTAAGAGTTGTTATCAAATTCTACGGATTAATTTCTTCAAAACGCGAGATACCAATAATTTACGTGAAAATAAATTACTGATAACTAAATATTTTTACGATGGTCCAATTTTCCTTTGCAAATATAGCCGATTTGCAATATAGCCGATCCCAGGTTTATGTGGGAGCAACAATGAAATTCAATCCAACTTACATATCTTCAACTCAAATACATCACGGAAACCAGCGTGTAGTTATATAAAAATTGTTATGTAAATATCTTACCAGTTATAAACACAGTTTTATTGGAGTCCAGGATTTGCAGCTTATCTCTCGAATTGGAACACAATACGTCAATTGAAATACTTAACTAGTGAGATGAGATTCCGAGAATTTTTTTCTGATAATTTACATATGTATTTGGCTGGATTATTGGACTTAGGACGAGGACTTACCAAACAAGTATGCATGCGATTAATTGCAATTGTTACAAGATGTACTGGTATGCTATACAAAGTTATGAAACGAGTTAGAAAATTAGCCAAATCGGTCACGTGGTTGACCGTTTGAGGTCATTGGTTGGAAGGGGAGTATTACGCACCAAAATTGTCATAGAAACCTCAAAAAGTGGGCATTGAGGAGTTACTATGATTCATGTGTTAAAGCCGCGACATTTTTCACTTTTTGCTGGTATACCGCGGCTGGAATGGAACCACCCTGGTCCTTAAGGGAAGGACATAAAGCGAAATTGTGGCCAGGTTTGTGGAACTTGGTGGCAGCTGCAAACAACCCGAAACCCATCCGGGTACTGGGTTGCCAACCAGTTGTATAGGTTTTGTTCCTTCCCGACGTTTCCCTTGGCTTAATTTTTCCGAGTGTATTTTGTAAAAGGTGTCACTGAACCAATTTATACCGTACACGGTACCTCCGAGAAAGCCAGCGATGACAAAATCCATTGAAGACATTTCTTCAAACGGGTTTCTATGGGTGGCGTTGTAGTTCGTAAATTCTCTAATCGTAAACACATTAACCTTCCGGTAATTCGGCGACCTGAAATTACCCAAAATCTCAATTTTTGAAACTTCTAACAAGGGAAACTTCCAAGGTGTACGTCGAGCCCAGGTTACCCACATGCATAAAAATATGCGACTTAAAAGTGCAAAAATTTGGGTGCAAAAATCACTTTTCGTCAGTCAGTGACGACATTTGTGGCGAATTTGTGGCAACAAATATCGTAACAGATTGACGAAAAGTGATTTTTGCCCTTAAACTCCTGCATATTGCTTCATTAGTCGTGTATTGTGCACATTTTGATACATGTCGGAACCCTGGACTCGATGCGCACCTCGGAAATATATGTATAAGAAAAAATATATATGTACATATGTACAAGACGGAACTGAAAATTTATGTCGCTATATAGTAATTATACAGACGTTGAACAGGCTCCCTTTCGTAAATATGTTGTCCAGTTATATCCTTCCAACCAGACTTATTAGACGGCTATAATTCTAATTATCTTACAACTTGACACTACTATGTGCCAAGTGACCTCAGTATGCGCCTATTTAAGTATGGCCATTATATCCCGCAACCTGATTTAGAGCAAATGAAAATCTATCCAAATATGCAGATTGATTTGCATGTCTAGCTTTACTGTTGACATTGCTTCCAAGTTCGTTCTGAATCGTTGTCTCCGTAAATTTGCGATGCGGCATTACCCCCTTGAGAAATCCCCATGGGGTTAAATCCAGAGGGTATCGGGGTTTAGCTATAAAAGCAGATAGTGAGCCGTCATACTGCGAGACTCGATGTTGATAAGCTGATGGTTAGGAATTAACATATTCTCTCCGGCCTGACTTGACCTACCTTTTGCAAACCGGCACAACCTGTTTACCGGCTAAAAGGGCGCGGGATGTGGAGTCCAATTTGCGAATTTCTTCCTCTTAACATGGGTAGACGAATATGTTTGCGGTCGGGCTTACTTTCTGACTTTATGCAGGTTGGCATGTACATATTTATTGTCCGGTCTCTTGTTTATATTAATTGTCAGATTTGGCATCCACATAACTAAATCCATGTGGCCCGAATGTCTTACATTCGAAAAATGCACACCAAGATACACAATAAAAATTTGGCTGGGCTTAATCGTTATACCCCTTAATTAATGTTTAAATATTTGTATTTTAAGATGTATGTGCACACATACATGGGCATATGCACAATGTACATAATGGGTGGTCTCAAATTTTCCTTCGACTTATTATTTTTCGAGGTCACGCAACCACACGATCATATCTAGATACTAATACAATGTAAAATTATTTATGTAAGGGACAAATGTTCATGGACACGAAATGTCAAAGCTACTCACGTATTAACCGAAAAGGCTATAAAACCTTGGAAGTCATGTATTACAGCTAACGATCCACTTTATAATTTAAGGATAACCATATATATATACAAAAATTTTATTCTTTTTTTCTTTTTCTTGTTGCAAGTGGTCAGCAAAAACGAACACCTTTTAAAAATTGGACACCGATATCCATAAGCAAAATGCACAATTCATTAAATATTCCGCTGTTGGTGTTTATATTTCTACGTGGAAAAGCAGAAGCATTTGAGAATTTAAAAAGTAACGAAAATGTCGGTATTTCAGAATTTATGGAGGGTTTTAGTAACTGCGAAATACAGATTGTTTATGATAAGATTGATCGTATTGATATCGGACCATATGAAAGTCCAATCACTATCGTTAACCTTAATCGAAGGCTTTCACAACCTCGCGGAATTTACAGAGGTCCACTTCGAAGAGATATATCACGAATTCGAGATTCAAAATGCAAGATTAGCTTCATAGTCTGCAATATATCGAAGCAAACGGAAATAAACCTAACCGATACAGGTCTGCTATGGAATAATAAAACACTTCTGGCCATGGGTAGTTGGTTCCTGTCGTTGTCAGACTATCGCTACAAACACAAAGATTATTCTGAATTTAGCTATGACCTAAGAGATGTGAGCAAAATCCTTATATCAACTATTGGGAAATCAGAACTTGAAAAATATTATATCTATCCAAGGAGAAATCACTTTACAGTTACATCAACTATTTATGACAAGCTGGGAGTTGTATATTCGTACGGAAATAAGTCTCATATCCTTTGTGCTCAACCAGCTGGAATTGCGTCGAATCGATATTCTACGATGCAGTGCGAAGCAGTCGATCAAAATATAGTACACACTTTTAACAAATTGAACTCTGTTCCCACCTCGTGGATGCTGAAAAACGTCGACAATATGGACATTCTGCATAGACTTAAAGCGTTTGATGTCATTGGGGTCTCGTTAAGTTTTAATCCCGTCAATCGAACAGGAAAGTTTTCAATATATCAACACTTACTTCAAGTAGTTTTTAGCAAAGCTAAC